ATTTACATAAATACCACCCAATTCCTATATATATACATATCTACACCTAAACTTTGATTTTTGCATCTATACCGCCCAAATCTTTCATATCACATAAAAAAGGGACATTCACATACATACCACAAAATTCTTATGCATTTACATATCTAAGATCTAGACTTTCTTATTTACATCCATAAAACTAAAATTACCATCATCGTAACATTTTAAAAGTGAAATACTCTTCTTCATGCATCGGGTTATGGCACCAAGGTGTTATAAGAATAAATATTAAACTTTAGATGCTAGACAAGTAAATACATAACAATTGTGTGGCATATATGCAAATTTCCCTATAAAGTACCACAATTTAAACTTTTAAAAAGTCAAATACACCTTTTCATCCATAGCTAAGGTGGCACACATGTAAAAATTTGAATTTTAGGTGTTAGATATGTAAATAAATAAGAATTGAGTGGTATGCTTATAAATCTTCCCGAAAATCTTTTAGTATCACATCAGAAATAGCTCTATTACTAATTTTTAAGAGTGAAATACAACTTCTCATGCATAAGTTTAGAGCACCACAGTGCAATATATGTAAAAATAAAAGTTTAGGTCTTAGATATGTAAATACATAAGAATTGCGTCCTACAAGGTTTATCGACCTAACTCAACTGGAAGACCTACAAATTAATGGAATCAGTCGAGTGTTAACGTGTTAAACCAAGATTTGCATGAGATCCTACCTTATCAATCCTCTCTAGTTTTGACCACACTAATTTCAAATCTATGATTAAAGGATAAAATCCATTTACCAGCTTTTTAAATCCAAAACAATAGATTGGCGATATAGATCAAAACCCTCACGAGGAAGTCACGAACTGCACACATTTCGCAAAAAAAAAGAAAAGAAAAGATAAACTAAAACAGTAAAATCATCAAATTATCAGTATTAGGGGAAAAACCTTGCACTAGGAACACGGCATGGTATCTCGACCTCGAACTCAACCGGAAGCCCCACAAATCCCTGGAATCTATCAAATGTGACATGGGAAACGTGATGCACATCAGTCGGCCATCCGATCTCCATGTGAGCAAGCGCCATCGCAGGCGACGCTTCAACTCCCCGCCGCTCCGCCACTCTGCACCCCACCACCGACCTCCGAAGTGCCGCCATGAGAAAGGCAAGTAGAGAAAGCTGCCTCTCTCTCTCCCTCGCCCTTTCTTCGTCTCCTTTGGGCCTCCTCTTCACTCTCTCTTCGTCTCTGCATCCTCTCAAGATTAATACAACTCCAACCATTTTTGTTCTCTGCGATTCTCTCTCTCCCCTTAGAATCCGCTTGGTTAGCTACTGGCCGAGCATGGAGAGTGGAGAGAGAGAGAGGGCAGAAAGTTGCAGTAAAGTTCTGCCGGATGCTTTTAATTTGAAGTGGGCTTCTTTAAAGGGGACCTCAAACGGCAGATTCGGAATTCAAATTCGGACGCCTATTAACTGCTAAATTAATATATTATATATATATATAGATATAATAGTGATTTCGATGTGACCGTCCGAATTTGGATGGATCAATGCGCACAAGTATTAAAGAAATATAAGGATTTACACAATTGGTACACAACTTTTATCTATTTACATAAGCACCTAAACTTTGATTTCTTCACAAATGATTAATCCCATTTTACTTATGCATCAAAAAATATATTATACTTTTAAAAATATAATAAAAATGTACTTTTAAGAAGATAATAAGAATGATATTCTAATATGATAAAAAAGATTTAAATGTTAGAAATGTAAAAATAAAAATTTTAATGTGTGAAGGGCATGTACCATACCATCGGCAAGAAGAGTAGCATCTCATATTGAAGAAACCCTAGATAGAGATGCTAGCAGCATGGAGTGCACTAGAGAGTTTGTGAACTAGCAGACCTTTCTAATATGATAAAAAAGATTTAAATGTTAGAAATATAAAAATAAAAATTTAAATGTGTGAAGAGCATGTACCGCACCATCGACAAGAATAGGAGCATTTCATATTGAAGAAATCCTCAATAGAGATGCTAGCAGCATTGAGTGCACTAGAGAGTTTGTGAACTAGCAGACCTAAGAATTGAAAGATCAAATGGTGGATGACATGCGAGATGGGATGGCTCGGGGAAGAGAGCAGCACCCCAGTGAGAAAGGGCAGCACCCAACTGCTGAAGAGTCCCTTAGACCCTAAAAAGAGAAGGCAACTCTTAGTACTTTGATAGTATCAGGTTGAAACTGATTGATCGACATTGGTTCGAGCGTACTGAGGCACATTGACAACCCGATAATATATTTTCTCAAAAGTCCAACGCTAGAGTCCTACAAGTGCATGATTGAAAAGACCGACCACATAGTCACATTTGAGTCAATTGTGTTTGCTGAGAATAGTCGACACCCTAAAATGTTGCCCTTTTTTACCATGCAAATGGAGTCACCTTAGGTGGTTTAATACGTCACCCTAGCAGTGATCACATATTTCATTAATTCCAAGAGAATGTTTGTGTCATAGTTTGTCAGTGCCTAAAACCTCATATAAACTTGTAACCCCTCATACTGATCAGATAGAATAGAACGAGTGTCTTCTCTCATTCATCACACACTTCTAAAATGAGATGTTGGAAGTGTGAAACCTGGATCCCACAATAACTCATGCCACCCTAACTCAAGCGTTGAAGGAAAGACCCTTTTAATACACGTTGTTTCCGCATCGACCAAAGATAATGTCCGAGTTGTTGGAGCTGGCTAACATCCACATATATGCCGAAAAGTATAACATCATTCTCATTTTCTCTAGAATTTACTCCTCCAACCATCACCCGAAGAAGATCACCCCCTCCTCAAAGCAAAAGGTGGAGATTAAGGCATGATTCACATCGTTTAACTTTCCCTCTCTACAAAACACTTTGGCCACTCTGGGACAATAGAGTGACCAATAGAACATACCATCGAAAGAGGCAAACCCAATATCTTGAACAATTACTAGCTCGGTATAATAAGTGTCCATTGCTTAACCATGAAGTATCCAAGACAACTCCATTGAGAGTTTAGATAGTCGAGACATTGGAGCCCATTCAAAATAAATATTATTTCAAGAGAGCACCCCCGATAAAAAATGGAGCTTACCTATGAGACCCCAAAAGTAATGTGCCTAACCATCAGGACCATGTTCATGTCATGGAGAAATGCCGACACGTATGAGGTTTGATTGAAGAACTGATTAAGGTTGTAAGAATGAAATCACCCATCAGATCTAACAACCGAGGGGAGATTGGTAGATTTTTTCTAATAAGTGAAGATTTTAGTACACGGTCAAAAAATATGATGATCAATACCCTTCAACACCACAGAGATGTTTTCTCAAGGTTCGTTGTAGAGATGTTAAGGATACCGATTGAAGTCGTGTAACACCATCCTAACATTAATTTAGTGGCATGACAGATGAAGAAAAAGATCCAGGAGGAGGTTCAGATGCTACTGGAAGCTGGTTAAATTTGAGAGGTCTAATACATAACATGGGTGTCCCACATTATCATGGTGTAGCAGTCAAATGATAAATGAAGAATGTGTGTAGACTTCATCATTATAAGCACTGCTTGTCTGAAGGACAACTACCTCTTGCCAAGAATCAACACACCCATGGATGCATCGTTCGGTCATTTTGCGATGAGCTTCCTTGATGCATTCTCCATCTACCACCATATCAAAATGCACAGAGTCAATGCAGATAAAATCACATTCATTACTAGTGATAGAGCATGTTGTTATAATGTAATGCCCTTTGGAGCTAAAAAATGTTGGTGCTACCTAATAACAAATGTCGAATGTAATCTTTGCAAAATAAAAATGAAAAATATATTTTTATGTATGTGGATGATGTTCTAATAAGAAAAAAAAATGTCTAGCAACAGATAAAAGATCAAATATAAAATTTTGAAGCACTTAAAAAATTTAATGTAAGGCTTAATTCACTCAAGAGCGCGCCCTCAAACAAATTTTAAGGCTACCTCATAACCCTGGAAGGAAAAATGACCATTCCATAAAATGCATAGTCATTGATCAATATGTTGTTTCCTTGAAACGCCGAGGAAGTTCAAAAGCTGACCAATCAGATCACAAGTGTAAGTTGGTTCATCAAAAAATCAGGCGGCAATTTTGTTGTCTTTTTCAAAATCATGAGAAGAGCAAAGAACTTTATTTGGTCGGATGAATGTGAACAAAGGTTCAAAAAGCTAAAAAGCCTCCTTAGCCTCGCCACCACTCTTCCAGAGTTCAAAGATGAACGAAGAGCTCTCCCTAGACTTGGGGGTCAATTTTGAAACAAGCACCTCAATTTTAGTCCAAGAAGTGTAAGGGAAGAAATTTTTGGTTTACTATATCAGCCTCGTCATCTGAGACACATAATTCATGTATCTGATTATGAAAAAATTAATGTTTTCTTTTGTTATTCCGACTTTAAGGCTTTGCTCGTATTTCTAAATGCATCTAGTTTGGATCAACATTGACCACCTTTCAAATCTATTCTTACTAGGTCGGAGCACTCTGGCCGACTCGTCAAATGGGTGGTGGAACTCAATGAGTTTGATCTCTCTTATGTGCCCCAAGCTCAATCAAAGCACAAGCCATAACCCATTTCAGGACTAAACTTTTTGAGCTGAGCAAGCCAAGTAAATAAATGAAAACTTATAATCATACCTTGGTTTTGCACATTGACGGAGATTCTATTCAAACTTGGTCAGAGCTCCATCTCGCTTTAACTAGTCCAATCAAGCATCGTTTGCATCACTCAAATCAAGTTGAATTTGAAGACACCAATAATCAAACTGAATATGAAATGATGATTTTTTGGCTACAATTTGCTTATGAGATGCACGTTCGAATCCTTCTGGTGAAATCCGGCTCACACTTGGTGATGAGTTAGATGAACGGACAATTTGAGGTCAAAGATGAGGAGATGACCAAATAGCTCCTTAAAGCTAAAACAATGATAAATGAATTTTGAAGGCTTCAATATAGAGCATATCTTCTGAGTGGACAATCAAGTAGCAAATTTCTATCCAAATGCTTCTATTTGGGAGAGGGGATACCTTAAAAGCTTATCTGGCCGGCCATTGAGGAAACCAAAATGATGGAGTAAAAAATTAAATGACCAAGAAATTGGGCATATCTTTACATTCTATATCTTGAGAATAGGAAGTTCTCAGAAAAAAAAGTTACTAATTTAAAGCACTTTAAAATCAAGGAAGGCCAATATCTTTTGATTGAGGGAAAGCTTTTTTGGAGATCAGCTACATCACTATACTTGAGGTGCATAAAAGAAGTTGAGACAAATAATGTCTTCTGAGAGGTACACTCGGAAGAGTGCAAAAGAAGCTCTGAAGGAAAGATTTTGACACACCGAGTGCAGTGACAGGATTATTTCTAACCAAAACCTTAAAAATTGTACAGGCATTCTCAAGGAGATGTGAGCAATATAAGAAATACTGCTTCAGGTCTTTTCCATATGGGAACTCGACATCTTCAAACCCTTTTGCCCGTTGCGAGGCTAACACAAAACTTTGCTCATTATTGTAGATTACTTTTCTAAGTAGATTGAAGCTAAGATGCTCACTCAAATCATCGTAGAGGCCATTCAAAAATTCATATGGACTGATCTGATATGTCGATACAAGCTACCACTTGTAATAATCACAAATAATATAACACAATTTTCCAACCAGGGGTGAAATATTTTTGTCAAAGTCGTGAGATCAATATGAGGTTTATGTTTGTTCATCACCCTTGAACAATTGGGCATGCCAAAGCAGCCAACAATAACATCTTAAACCTATTGAGTAAGAAGATTGAAAGAGCTTAGGGTAATTAGATTGATTTTTTTTTGTCTGTTCTTTAGATGGTCTGAAAGACACTTTCCATAACATTTTGACAAACTCCATTCATGTTGTCACATGGGATGGAGGTAATGTTGCTGTCAAATATAACAATCACAACAAAATAATGGTGACAACTTTGACGTTTGATGAAGCAGATTTATCCAAGTGGTAGAAAGCAAATGACAAGGGGGTAATGCTCTTGGAGCATACAAGCTAAAAACTGACACAGAGAAAAGAGTCCCTCAAACATTGAGTAGAGAGGATTTGTATACTACTTATTCTTAAAGAAATTTTTTGTATCTCAGCAATAATAATGTGTTATCTTTCCAACCTAGATCACATGTCTGATTTTTTTTAATTATATAAAACATTATTAAGTAAGATTTTTCTAACTTTACACACAATATCAAGTCTGATTGACACTCAGAGAACTCGAGAAGTTCACGCAAGGGATTGCCAAAATTTGACCAAGACTCTGGGAATTCAAGCTAACTCATTGACAATGTTTCTAAGTTGCAAAATTGACAACAATATACAACGTTCAATTAATGAAAATTAGCTAAAAATAACAGACAATAATAAACAAACATTCAATTGATAATTCAAACAAGAATCGACTTACGATGCTCAAGCATCAATAAAACCCATGTCTCCTAGCTCAAAACAAGTCAAGCTCTAGCGGTGATTCCCCACCCATTAATCATGGTGGATAGCATATGGATCAGCCCAACAGTAAGTTTTGATGCTTACTCCCATGAAGGTTGCGATAAGATTCACTTAATATGCCCAACGTAAAATAGTGACCCATCCAATATGACAACCTAACTGAGGGACCAATACATGGGAGGTATAATACATGAGCTGGGAGGTAACAAAATCCCTAAATAATCATACCTCAATTAACCTTGGTTCACTACGATCATGGCAACCACATCTGCACCAATCACTGTCGAAGGAGAGCCGATGATCACCGCTTTAGTGATCTATTCATTTGTATTAAAAAATAATATAAAGCAAAGTTTAGAAAAATTAAATTCATCCAACAAGGGTCCTACATACCTAAGATTTGTTCTCATTCCCAAGCAATAAAAGATAACCCTTCCTCACCAGTCGGCCGCCCTTTGGCTGATAGAGGAAGGTCGGCAGTGTTCTGTGTGTCAAACGACATTGAGGCATTAGGAGCCTCTCGCTCATTTTCCCCAATAGTTTGCTCCACTTCTAGAGCTAAAGTATGAACTAGATCCAACAAATTGATTGGATATTCCTGTAGGAGGCCACTCTCTTCTACCTAAGGACCCCTTTTTAGGTGACTCTCCCCCTTATGAACACCCTCTCGCAGGCGATGTTCCTCTGCCTACACCTCCTCACCAGGGCAACCAAGGCGCGAGTCCGAGCATCCCACCCAATTTTTCGCGTCTGATCTTGACCAATTCCTCGCAGCCACCTACACCTCCACTCCCCCCTCCGGTCGGGAGCCATCCCCTCACTTCAGATCTTCAAAAGCCACCTAATGAGCGGTTTTGTTGAACTTCTCAGCTTTAGGAAGTTGTTTATTAACCATTTTAACAACCAAATTTTGGACAACCCTGGTGTGGAAATCAAAGAAGGATGGGAAGAAATGTGCCTCTCACTCCATATTTATAGAAATCGCAAGCACAAAATCTAAGGGGAGCTCAATTATTACATTATTAAGTATTAAAAATTGTTGTTCAACCATTTGCATTAAAATCTATTATTCTTATTTGCATCGTAACTGTCAAGAAGCAATAGAATCGATAAACTAACTATGCACTTTAAAAATACTTCAGCACAAATCTTGAACAAATCTAACAGGTCAAAGGAGTTATGGTCAAAGAGAACTCATCAAAGGTTAAAGTGCACAACACGTGAGTTAGAAATATCCATCGGCTCTGTGCCCTCAGTGCAGGATCCAGAGTCGATCTATAAACTAAATAAGTAGATTGGCTAAAAAAACCGATCAAGTGAAGATTCTGCCGACCGACAAATAATTTTAGTTTGTCGACTATCCAGACTTAGTGTAGCCCACAAAGATGGGCTTCTCCGATCCAAGAATTACCAACCATAGAAATTCGAGAAATGGGAAAAGTCCAGCTTAATGCTTATTTATTTATTTATTTATTACTAATTTATCCAATAGTGTTCCTATTATAATAGGGGCAAGCAGACAATCATACTCCTTGTACCTCCTTCGCCTATAAACACAGGGGTAGTTCCTACATTAAAGGATTAGTGATTCAGGGATAAAAACTCTAAAAGCTTAATTTTACTGTACTCTCTCTCTCTCTCTCTCTCTCTCATATTCTTCTTCTCATGCTACACTCTATTTCTTAGGTTTAATTCAGAAGACAATCTCAGATTCAACATTTATTTATTAAAAAAAAATCCTTCATTCCAAACATAAATTTATGATACCAAAATATTAGAAATGTAAATATTAAACTTTGAATGTTAAATATGTAAATAAATAAGAATTGTATGTACGCATGAACATTTTCTTAATATTCAATAATAGTTTATTTTCACAAAAAAAAAAATTGAGCATCTAAATTACTAAAGAATGCTGAATTATGAGAAATTATAATCACTGCATAATTTATATTTTATGTGTGTGGGAAATGAGTGTCTAGAGGGTAATATGTGTGATTTGAATAGAAGATCTCACTATACAAAACAACATCATCAACCATTATACCATGGGAAGGTGCACAACTTTAAGAAAAAAAAATCACATAAAAAAAATAAATTGGTCCACTTTGTTTAGGTGGTCTAAAGCTATAAAAGTGCATTTCATGCATAATTTCATAGAAGTTTGATTTTATCTACTCATAAGAATGAAATTTGAATGCATCCACTCTTTCATTTTTTGATAAAACATATTTGAAAGTTTGTTTGAATAAAAAATCTCATGATATTTTTATACTCTCAATATTATTGGAAAAAAATGGCTTGCAACACCCTTTTCATATATTGCCAATTTTTTATTCAAGTATTGAAGGTTTGGTTGGCATGCATTTTAACAACATTTGAAATTTCTTTGAATCAAAATCAAACATTAAATAATTTTTTTTCAAATATAAGCTTGAATTTTATTCTAACCATGCTTTTTATTATGTTGGGATATATTTAAACCCTATTCAAATCATAATCAAATATATTTTCAAATCATAATCAAATATATATAAACCCTATTCTAACACATGTTCAAATCTTCCTATGTTTTCCAAACATTTATGAACCATGTTTGAGAACGCTATAACTATTAAATATGATTCAAATATGACTTGATCATGATTTTAAAATGGTTTGAACATATGTTCCTATAATAGTGATGGCATATGCTGACCAATTAATTTTGTGAGGCGAATCAAATGTTAATATTCTTACACTGTATAAAAAGAATGAAAAGAAGACAAAGAAGTCTATTGAACAATAATCCAATTGTCGTAACTTATCATTGTTATGTGCTAGGAAATTTGTGACAGTAGAATAGTAAATTGTTGTCTCAGCTTTGTACGATAATCTATCACACACTCACAAGAAAAAAAATAATTAATAGGGATATTAGAAATTTTTAAGTGAAAAACCTGAAAAGAGGAAAAAATCACGGGGGTCTTTCCCAGTTGAAATATTCCACTAAGAGTTAGTGATTACAAGTACAACTCTTGTCCCACGAGCGGGAAATGATTACACAATTTCTCACATTACGATTTCTATGGGCAGAAAAACTTGTTGCCCCTTGGTAGAGAGCGGGCGACGACTGATGTAAGTCAGCGGGAGGTAGTCAGAGTCTACTGGAGGTGGTGGCGGGGGCGACTAAAGTCGGTCGGGGGTGGAGGCGGCATTGACTGGAGTTCGCCGGCATGCAACTACTTTGGAAGCTTTCCAATCAGATTATGTTTCAAAACTTGGAACAAGCTTTTCCATTGGTTTGTTGTGCCTACTCTTCCCTGCATTCAGTAGTGGCTGTTCCTTTCAAAAATATTAAAGAGCTTTTTATTCACAAGTTTAAGAATATCACAAAGAATAAATGTGGTATACGTGTCATTTCTTGTAATGGATGGCTATATTTCATAAGTTAATGTTGATCGATCCCTGCTTCAGAAAAAAATTCAGAATCTTTTTCATCAATATTAAAATAGAGTGTGCATACTATAAATTTAAAAAAACAGAACTTTGAACATTAAAATACACCTGTTGGCGTGCTTCATTTATGAAATTAGATGTTGTCTGGCTAGAACTACTCTGGGTATCTACATTGATGCAATAAAATATACAAATATCACAGTTTCTTGTATTACAACATTTATGCATTGAAAAATTTGTTGGCCCATGATAGGGAGCCGGTGGTGGTTGACGGTGGCCGATAGGAGATAGTCAGAGTCGTTTGCAGGCGGCAACTCCACCAACTGAACCAAACCATGCGCGTTCACTAATCATGTACATGCATATTTTATCTTTACGCAGGCTATATATATATATATACACACACACCCTGTATTCAGATCAGTTGGTCAGGTATCTGTTTGTTAGTTGCAAGTCTTCTCTGATTTAGGATTTGATTCCCCGTTGTATTACTCGCTGTAATTTAATGGAGCCTAAGTTATAGATTTCATAACAAAATTTAGTTTATAACCAGAATCAAACAATATTATCAAATTTAGTTTATAAGAGAGAGACCATTTCATAACAAAATTTGGTTTATAACCAGAATCAACCAATCTTATCAAATTTAGTCTATAAGAGAAAGATCACTAACAATGACATAATCTATAACACCTCTTTCACAACCTACCAAACAAACACACAATAATTTCTTACCAAAAAGCAACAAAAAAAAGCAAAACAAGTTCCCCTCAGATCTGTCTTCCACATCAATTTTTATGAACAACTAATTCCTCAATCCAACCTTCTCAGCAAATACTCCACCTGAACTTCCTTAGTGAGCGGCATAATCCACTTGTCATATAGTTCAGCAACAAACCCAGGCCTGATTTTAAATTTTGGCGGACAGTCTTTTTCACCACCACCAACGGTCACCTCCTTCCCAAAAGTCATGGCCTTTGTTTCCACCCTCCTCTTGACCACAAACTCCACCGTTTCAAATGTCAGCAAAGCCAATATCTTTTTCCTGTCCTGCGCTTCTATGGCAGCATGGAATTTCTCAGGGCTCTCCCTAAACTTCGCCTCAGCCACAAACTTCCCATAATGGATTCTCTTCGACAGAGACTGCAAGCAAATCGTGTCACAAACAGAACTTGATCCGCAATTTCCATCGCTTCCACTTTTTACCAGATTGGGCAGCAGTTCATCGAAGTACATCTGCCATACTATCTTGTTCATATTTATCGAATCTGCAGCATAATGCAGGACTCTCGGATACTGCATGGGAGGAAGCATTGGCACAGATAAATGCTCTGGAAAAAAGGGATGCTCATCAGGACTCTTGTATCTTCCAACCTTTGCGTGAAGTTTTTCTGTTTCTTTAACCATGTACTCCATTAAAGAGCAATGAGATCCATCTATTGAGAACAGAGTAGGGTCATATGCATCAGGATTGTAGCAATACTTTGCACGTTCCAGAAGAGCGAATATTATGCTATCCTCCTGTCTTACTAATAAGTTTCTTACGCTTTCCAAGGTAAGACTTTTGCTTATATCCGTCCTCTGGATCGAATGGGAAAGCGCGCTTGGGATTGAATGGAGTTTTTTTTGGGGAGATGGGAGAAGAAACGATCCAAAAAAGGTTTTTTTGGGCGTTCTAAGGGATGAGGGGGCGGTGGGTGTCCGATATCCAATTGCCAGAGGTTTGGCGAAGGTAGAAGGAGGATTTAAAAGCTTGAGATCCATGGCGGACTGCAGAAACCTTTTGGGAGAGAGAGATGGCGGAAGAAAATGAGCAAAGAGAGCAATTCGTGGGTCTTTTTATAGTTGGTATGGATGGTGTCGGAGACGCGACGGACTAAGACCAGAAGAAAAAGTAGTGGTGGGAATTATTAGACATGAAAAATTGGGATGGGTGGTGGGTATAAAAATCTGATTTTTGATCGGCTATTTTTCTACCGCAACGCGAATCTGATGGGATGATTTTGCGTAGACCATATATATAATATAAATAAAAATATTATAAAATTGCTTTTGTCCGAAAATAGCAGGGTGCGATAAGTGATATTCTGCCAATAAATTGGTGGGGCTTTTTATAGTTTGTATGGATGGGGTCGGAGACGCGACGGACTCGGACCATAAGAAAAGGCAGTGGTGGGAATCATTATACATGAAAAATTGGGATGGGTGGTGGGTATAAAAATCTGATTTTTGATCGGCTATTTTTCTAC